ATTCATTCTCGTGTTACTCGTCGTTCAATTAAGTTTCATCCATTTTCTGTTACTGTTTCTAAGTGCTCCAAAAACTCTTATTCGTCTAGTTTTTTTGCTCGAACATCAGTTCTTTGATTTCACTTCCTTCATTTTGCTTTCTTGATTCATATAGTTTGCAATCTTTTAAGTCGTCTGTCAATTGTTATCCTGCTCTACAATCTTCATCTTTTCTCATCCAGTAACTTCCAACACTAATTAGTGGTTGCTTGCAGCCTTGTTGGAAGCGAAGATAATTAAAAAAAGAAAAAAAAAAAGTTAACACTGAAACATATTGTATTGAGCGGTGTCTATTTTTAATCACATAGATTGAGGTGTTTCGAAAAGATTAATTGATTTTTTTTGTCAAATTTCTTTCTTTTGTTATATGCTTTTTATTGCACTGGATTTGTCAGTTTATTTACATTATCTATTTTTGCTATTTTTAATCAGTTGATGATTTTTTTTAGGTTATTTTAAGAGTTTTGTGTAAAAGGGAGCAAAATTTTGTTAAATTTTTTAAAAATAATTATTCAAAACTCTGCATGGTCTAATAAGAAGCTCAAAAAACTTGAGCAATTAGACAACTTGTAGCTTTTGATGTTTAGCAGTAATAAATAAAAATGATTTCAATAGAACATATTTTATTTAAAATTCTTTTAAATAAAATATGTTCTATTGAAATCATTTCTTACTGCTAAATCATTTCTTACTGCTAAATCATTTCTTACTGCTAAATAAATATAATGTAGTTCTCATAAATACTTGTAATTTTCAGAAAACAGTGGATAATGATGGTGCTAATAATTAAATTTTTGTGGTTAAGCTAATTTTTTTTTTGTGGTTAAAACTTCTCTTCATATTTTAAATAATTTAGAACACTGTTGTTGTTTTTTTTTTCAATAATTTAGAACACTGTTGTTGTTTTTTTAATAATTTAGAACACTGTTGTTGTTTTTTTTCCAATAATTTAGAACACTGTTGTCGTTTTTTTTCAATAATTTAAAACATTGTTGTCGTTTTTTCAATAATTTAGAACACTGTTGTTGTTTTTTTTCAATAATTTAGAACACTGTTTTTGTTTTTTTTTCAATAATTTAGAACACTTTTTTTTAATAATCAAATGATAAAAGAACACATCAACTTTTTGAACAGCTTTTATATGGGAGACTTCCTCAGAATTTATTTGATCTTGTGTTCTGAAATATGATAATCTAATTTACTAAGGATATATTTTATTAATATCTAATAATATTTTAATATTATACCTAATAATATGTAATAATTTTTTGTAATCTAATTCACTTCCAACAAAGCTGCAAGCGATCACTATTAGGTTGGAAGTTACTAGTAAACAAAGAAGAGAGTTAAAGAGCAAGGAAATGATTGACAGAAGACTTGTATGAATCAGGAAAATATGTAGATGGGAAAGAATTTTAAAGGATTGAAGTGCAGGTCAAAAAACTAGACAAATGAAACTTAGAGCATGCAAGAAGGGATATATTTAAGGGATGCGACTTTGCTGAAAGACAAGTCAAGCATGATAGTGTTTTGGTTTATGGAGCTATAGGCAATAACTTCTTTGAACAGTGACCATGAGAGTATTTGTAGAAAAGAAAAAGAGATGCAACTTTTTAAAGATGGGAGAAAGGCTCACGCTTGGCAGATAAAGCAGGTTTAACTACGTTTAAAATGCAATTTCGGACCTTGTTTAGAAAAGAAAGAGCATCAATAGAAGAACCAGTTCAGAAATGGTAACACTACTCCAAACAGTGACAAATAAAAATATTTGTAGAGGTAAAGAATAGAATCAGGAGTAAAATAATGGCAAGCATGAGAAGAAATCTTAATAGATGCTAACTTTGTAATTGATTGTTTCAATGAGAGGTCAGTAGTGAACAATCCAAGAAGGTGTTTAGCAACAGAAGCCGTTTGATTGATCAGAGTGATTCGGATGTATAACATTGGATTAATCTGTTTAATTGGAATAGCAGGTAGTGTATGGCCATTAGATTTGAGTAGAATTAGAATAAACGTTCTTTTTAAAAAATTCTACTATTCCCTTGGGAGAGGTAATAAGATCAGACCCATTCCAGAGATAGAATGTTAGACTTACTATTTTTAATGACACCGTTGAGCCTAAGAAAAAAATGATTACAATAAGATGTAGCAGCTGCACAAGATAGTAAAAACCATGGAGTAGAATGAGAGTTGACTTGGAACCAAAGAGAGGAAACAAAAAATTCCTTTTTTTAATTCCTATCTGTATCCAGGTGGTTATGTATAAGGCACATTTATCAGTGGAGAGAGAAAAGACATCAATCCAAGGACCATCATGAAAAAAAAACCCCAAAAAAATATTGAATAAATTGAAACTAAGAATTCTGAGATCGAGATGCGGACAAATAACTTAAAAATGTATTACAACAACAATACAAGTTATTCAGTTTTCAATAAAAACTCTCAATAAATTTTTGAATCCTTGTTTAGCGTTTGTGAATTTTTAAAAGCTGATTACAATGAAAGTTTTCATTTTGATCAGTTAGTTTTTATTATATTAAGCACCTACTATTTTAAGTATATTAAGCACCTGAGAGTAATCGCTTAAACAAAAAGAATTTCACTAATTCAGAAAAATATTAACCAGCTCTCTAAAAATTGACTGTTAAAATGATATTTTTAAAATAAAATTATTAAAAATATATATGTAGTTAATAAGTATATAAATTTCTTTTTAAAAGTTGTGAAAATATAAAATAAGTACAAATTTACAAAAATGTTTATGAATAAGTTTTAATCCATAATTTTCAAGAAAACTTAAATTTTAACTCTGAAAAATTTGTTTAAAATGGTTTTGAATCTTTTTTAATTTATTTTTTTTGTATTCGTACTTGTATAAGGACTACACAAAGGAATCTTTATATACACATAGAAAAAAAAGTGAAAAAATTGCAATTAGAAAAAAAAAAAAATAAATAACAAAAAAAATAAACAGTTAAATTTGTAAAACCAAAATTTAAATTCTATTTAGATATTCAAGCACATAAGCATTGTTAAAAGCTTACTAATTATGAAGTAACATAAACTAATTAAGATGTTTGTGCCAATAAATAAAACATTACTCCATCAAGTATTCCATCAAGAATCTAAATAAATATGTTCATTGAATCGTTTAAAATGAACTTGTGCTTTTTACATTTCTTTTTAATTGCATGACCTCTTCTTTTTTAAACTTTTCACACACTTAAAAATAGTGCGATAAAAACAGTTGCTTGTTTCTGTAAAAGCAAGTCTTGAATTATAAATTCTTTTATAGACAAGAAAACAATCTTGAAAATTAATAAACTCTATAATTCCACACTTCTGAAAAAAAGCCACATCACTAATACTACACTGATATAAAATTTGATACATGATTTTACCTTTTTACAGATAACTATTAAGACTTTGTTTTAACCCTCACACTCCTAAACCTCGGAATTAGGGTCAGCCTAACTCCGAGGTTTAGGAGAGAACTGCCAACCTGAAAGTGTTTGAGATCGGCAAAAAATTGGCGACCTCGTTTCTGTGTTTTATGGTTAGACCTTTGTATCAAATAGTTTCTGCCGACATGATGCCGAGCTCAAAAAGATTGAGGTCAAATTTTTGCTGACCTCATTTTTCCTAATTCCTAAGGTTGCAGAAAGTCATAAAAGTAGAAATTCATTAAAGCGGTAAAATTAAATTTTTCATGTAATAAATAAAATATAATAAAGATAATATAATAAATAAAGAAAATATAATAAAGAACTAAATGATACAGAAAATCAACAATAAAATCGTCGTTATTTCCAATGATTATACATATTATTTGATTTATTATACATAATATACACCTGAATGGAAATGCCACATTCCATTCATGTGACGATGAAAGCAACATTTTGAAATTGTTATTGTTGAAGTTTATTTTCCATTTATTTTTTTATTGTTATCTTGACAATTAGAGCAATTACTTCAATTGAAAAACTCGTTTTATAAATATTTACTTTCGTCATTTTATTTGAATTAGAACGATTTTGTTTTTTATAAATAATGAATGGAATATTTTAATGGCGTTATTTCTAATAATTGGCTAGTTTTTAGCAAATGTTTTTACGAAGTTAAAATATAAAACGATACTTATTTTAAATGTTTATCTATTAAACGCTTTTAATTTAATAATATACTTTTTTATCATTTAATTTTAATATAAATGTAATGAAACATTTTGATTGTAAAGAAATTTTTCAATCAAGAACATTTGATTGTAACTGAAAAAGTTTCACGTAGAATTAAATTTAGAGATATTATTAAATTAGAATTAAAGAAACAATGAGTAAAGCAACGAAAAGTCCAATCTGGGACTATTTTGATATTGATGAAAATAATCACTCAAAAGCAATTTGTAAATTTTGCAAAATAAAAATATCAAGAGGAGGAACATCTGGCAAAAAAATGACAACATCTAATTTAAAAGGGCATATGAAAGCAAAACATATAAAAATTTTCCAGAAAGTAGAAGATCTACAATGTTTCAAAAAAATTAAATTAAGTAAAAAATGTTATTGCATCTACTTCAACCAGTAAAGAGAATGATAATAGCAAAGTATCTTTTAGCAACAGTGCTACAGTTATTCTAGATTAAAAACATCAATCTAAGCTTGAGGAAACTATTAATAAGCATAGGAAATGGACTTCAAGTGAACAAAGAGCTCAAAAAATAACTATGCTTATCGGAGAAATGATATGTGTAGACATTCAGCCGTATTCTTTAGTTACAGATTAAGGATTTAAAAAACTAATTATGCATCTTGAACCAAGGTATACCATGCCCTCTAGAAAACATATGACTGAAACAGTTGTTCCTTTAATTTATGAAAAAATGAAAATACAAATTATGAATGATGTAGCAAAAGCAGATTTTTTGAGTTTTACCACTGACGGATGGACTACACATCACA